GATCATACATCAATACATACATTACATACATACAGTACATACATACATACATACAACATACATTACAATACAGTAAGTCAGTACATACATTACATTACATACAACATACATACATACATACATAACATACATACATAATTACATACATACATATCTACATACATACATACATAGCATACATACACATTAACATAATCATACAACATACATACATACATACATACATACCATACATAAGCATTACTAATACATACATACATCATCATACATACATACAACTACATCATACAATACATAATACATACAATACAACTACATACATAAACATACATACATACATACATACATACATACATAATACATAGCATACCATACATACATACAAATACATCATAACATACTAATACATACAACATACATACAATACATACAATACATACATACAATAATCATACATACATACATACATACATAACATACAGTATCATACATACATACCATACATAGCATACATATACATGACATACATTTACATACATACATACATACAGACATACCTACATATCATACATCATACATACATACATACATACAATACATACATAATATGTATCATACAGTACAACTACATACATACTATACATAACACAGTAAGCATAACAATACATCATACTATACATATAGCATACATACAATACATACATACATTACTACTCATTCAGTACAACATAAACATACATACATACTCATAATCATAACACTAACGTATCAGGACAATATCTCCCCGACCCGGACACCTCACCGCCCGGTACAATTACCCCCGGACAATTACCCCCGGACAGATTTACCGCCATTCCATTTACCCCCCCCTGCCTATTCACCCCCCGGACATTTACCCACCCCGACAATTTAACCCCCCGACATTTTACCCCCCGGACAATTTTACCCCGGACATTTACCCCCCGCACAAGTTACCCCCCGGACAATTACCCCGCCGAAAATTACCCCCGGGAATTACCCCGACAATTTACACCCCCGGACATTTACCCCCTGGATCAATTACCCCCGAGACAATTACCTCTCCCGGACATTTACCCCCGGACAATTACCCCCGGACAATTAACCGCCCTATTGCATTTACCGCCCATCCATCACCCCCCGGACAATCACCCTGCTGGACAAATTAATGCGCCCCGGATTTACCCCCCGGACAATTACCCCCGGACAAATTACCCCCCCGACATTCACACCCCCGGATAATTACCGCGCCCGCGACATTTACCCCCCGGACAATTACCGCCCGGACAATTACCCCCCCCCGACATTACCCCGCCCGAATGCGTTGCGTGCGTGCGTGTCAGGTAGCACGTGTGTGCATGTTGGTGCTGCGTACGTAGTGCGTGTTGTGTGCAGGTACACGTGCGTGCGTTGCGTGCACTGTATGTGCTACGTACACGTGCGTGCGTGCTGCCTGCGCTGTGCACGGTACACGTGCCGTGCATGCCGTGCGTCGTGCGTGTGGCAACGTACACGGCGTGCATGAGTGTGTGCGTGCGTGTGATACGTACACAGTGCGTGCGTTCGTGCGTTGCGTTGCGTGGGTTGTGTACGTAAAACGTGCGTGCGTGCGTGCGTTGCGTGTGCTTTGTATCGAACAATATCAGGCATCTGCTTGCTGCCAACCGTTAAAATTGCGCATGTGCGCATATGATCGTCAAATGTTTGAATAAACATGAAACATCGGGCTATTATATTTCCAGGCGGGTAAATGTCCGGGGTAATTGTCAGGGGGGGTAAAATGTCCGGGGGAAATGTCCGGGGTGGTAAAATTGAACCGGGGTAAATGTCCGGGGGTAATTGTCCGGGGGTATAAATGTTCCGGGGGTAATTGTCCCGGGGGTGGAATGCAATGGGGGGTAATGGCATGGGGGAGAAGTGTCCGGGAGGTAAATGTCCGGGGGTAAATAATCCGGGGTAATTGTCCGGGGGGTAATTTGTCCGGGGGTAAAGTGTCGCGGGGGTGAACGGCAAATGGGGAGTAAATGGGCAGGGGGTAATTGTCGCGGGGGGTAAATAGTCCGGGAGTAAATTGTCGTCGGGGGTAATGTCGCGGGGCTAAATGTCGTCGGGGGTAAATGTCCGGGTGGGTAATTGCCGAGGTGAATGGCATGGGGGTAGAATTGCATGGGCGGGTAATTGTCCGGGGGTAAATGTCCGGAGGGTAATGTCCGGGGGTAAATGTCCGGGGGTAAATTGTCGCGGGGGTAAATTGTCGGGGGGTAATTGTCCGGGGGTAAATGTCCGGGATTCCGGGGTAAAGTGTCCGGGGGTAAATGTCCCGGGGGGTAAATGTCGCGGGGGTAATTGTCCGGGGAGCTATATTGTTCCGCGGGGTGTGAATTGCCATGGGGGTTATTGCAGGGTATGCGGGGGTAAATTGTCCGCGGGGTGATTGTCCGGGGGTATTTGTCACTAGAACCTTACATACTACATACATATCAGACAAGTACATACATACATACATACAACATACATACATACATACATACATACAACATACATTTACATACATACATATCATACTATACATAACCTACATACAACATAACATACATACATACATACATACTATAACATACATACATGACAGTACTATACATAGCATACCTACTATACATCTACAATACATACATACAGTACATAGCATACATACATACTATACATACATACATACATACATACATACATACATACTACATACAACATACATACATACATACATACACTACATACATACATCACATAGCATACATACATACTCTACATACTAACATACATACATACATAACCATACATACATAACATAATCATACATACATACATACATACATTACATACATAACTCACATACATACATACATACATACAACATACATACATACATACATACACATAGCATACATACATACATACATTATCATACATACATACATCTACAGTACATACATACATACATACATACATACGATACATACATAAATTTACATCCATACATACATACATAGCAATACGATACATACAGTACATACATACATACATACAGACATATCATACATACATCATACATCACATACATATCATACATTACAAACACACACTACATACATACATACATACATACATCATACATACATACATACATACATACATACATACATACATACATAATACATACATACATACACTACAACATAAACATACATACATACATACATAACATACATACATACACATACATACATACATAATCACATACATACATACATACATACATACATACATTACATATCATACATACATACATACATAACAGTACATACAACATACATACAACTACATACATACATACATACATACATGCATACATACATACATAATACAAATACCATTACAGTCATACATACATACATACAATACCTATTACTACATACATACATAAACATATACATACATATCATACATACATACATACATACATACATACATAACATACACATACATACAACATACATAGCATCATACTACATACATACATACATACATACATACATACATACATACATACATACATACATACATACAACATACATACATACATACATACATACATACATACATAACATACATACATACATACATCTACATCACATACATACATACATACATACATAATACATACATACATACATACATACATACATACATACAATACAACTAATACATACATACATACATACATACATACAACATATCATACATACAACATACATACATACATATACATCACATACATACATACTACGATACATACATACATACATACATACATCACACACAAACAAACAAACAAAAAAAACAATAGCAGAACACATCCTCGGTAAAGCTGCAAACTTTCGCTACAAACCATCTTGCGCTTTATCTACGTGAGCGGTTTGCCGAGCCAGTTTAATTCCTGTCAAACACGACTTTCCTGCCACACACGTATTGCCTACCACCAACAGCTGATACCACGTCTCGAGTTGCGTGCTGTTGCATGCTTGGGTGCGCGCAATATTTTGTCAAAGCCCCCGCCCGTCCCAGAATTAGAGTTTAGCCCCTTCCATCCCTTCGGAAGCTTGCCCCGCCCCGTTGGGTGTCTTGGACTCCGCCCCCTCTCCATCGGGTCTTTAATCTCTGTGTCGGACAATATCTGGTACCAGTCCTGTTATACTTACGATAACAAGTACAGGGGCTAAAAATACCACCGTGCATGTTGTGGATGAGACAACATTTTTGATTTGTTCGTGTAGCCTGAATATTCAGTTTTCAATGTATAAGAATATTAGAATGTATGGATTCGCTAATATTATATTAAAGTCAAAGTTTATGTTGTCGTCACAAACAAAAAATTATCACAAAACACAATTACGTTGAATATACGTTGATTACGCGTGATACATTATGGTGGTGTCAGCAGTTCATAATAAATATAGTCTATTGCCTATTATTAGCGACATTTAAGATCAAAATTGCTTTATCACTATTATTATCATGATGAAATAATAAACAAATCATTTCATTTTTTCATAATATAGTGGATATTAAATATCTAATTTCATATTAACGAAGTTAACAGGAATTGTAAAATTCACAAATGAAACTCAATATAAACGAAAACTTTTTTATTTTCTGTTTTTTTTTTTATAAAGACTATAATAAATTATTCATATCATCTATGCCGATATAGCAAGCGAGAAATAAAGTTGACGACAACATAAACATTTGACTTTAAATAATATTAAGCGAATCCATACATTCTAAT